TCTTTACATCTGAATGAATTGCGGAATATGGCTGAATTTTTTGTGGTTTTTTGCATAATATGATATTTTTTGCATAATATGATAGAAAAAAAGTAAAAACTTAAACGGTAAAGGCTGAATGTGACTGAATTTAATTAGCTAAATTTTTGAAAAGATTAATGAAATAAACTTTAAAAATATTTAGTTAAAACAATTTTTTATGGGTTTATTAGTAATATAGGCACTTTTTGAAACATAATTGGCAGTATACTATTTAGTATTAGGAAAATGAGCATGTATTACTGTTACACTAATACATCAAGAAGCTGAGAAGACGAAAGTACCCCTGGGAGAGTTTGAGCGTGTTTGTACACGTGGGCATAGTTATTAATGACTGAAGTAGGGCAGTGGGCTATGTTCTGTGTAATGGGCTATGTTTTGTGTGTAATGGCCCATAAGTGGTCTGAATTTTGTTGAAGACCCCTATTTGGAGTGGTGTTCCCAATGTTTAATGTACGACCAAAAATAACTAGTATTTAGAATCTTTTTCTTATGGTAGCTGAGATTCTAATATTTTTCTATCCTCATCTGATGTTAGTATTTACGAAAGATGCCATTATAGCTTTTACTATATTTTATTTTTATCTTTTATACCACGGATGTACACGATGGTTGTACACCATGGTGACTAATACCTTTCTTGTTTGCTCGTAATCATCTCCAAGACTATCTCCTTCTACAACAACATTGGGGGCGAGAGTAATCCATATGCTGTGCAGAGTTAACAAAAAACATTATCTAGCTGAAGTGTGTACACTAAAAAGTATGTACACCATGCATGTACACTATAAATCTATGTACACTACAATTTATGTACACCTTGTCTGTACACTAAAATGTATGTACACCATGCATGTACATACTCTGGTATGGAGTATATATGTAGACAGTCTCCGACCGGATAAAAATCAACGGAGAACAAAGGCTCTGGCAGTTTGATAGAGGCAAAAAGTTAACGGAAATAAGAAATTTACAGTTTTTGCATGTTGAGGGGGTTACTTACCAATCATAATTCCTTGATCATTCACTAAAATAGCTAGATGTTTGAAGATATTATTCACTTCACCGATCTGTTCTTGAATTTCCTAATTCCTTGCTCTCTTTTCTAGATAGTTGGTTCGTGGAATGTTGTCTCGTTACATAAAAACACCACTTCTTGCCTACAATGGGAATAATAAGAACTTTAACAAAAAATCTCAAAATAAAGAGGATAGATCTAATTGGTTTCATGGCCATAACCAACTTTGAAAATACTATTAAACCAGTTTTAAGCTTATATCAACAGTTACTGGCAAGTGTAAGCTACTCTAATGATACTAAGTTAAATATCTCATCAAGGAACAAAAGAAAAGTGAAAGACAAGTTTGAATTCTCAAACTACATGCTTGACTCACATTTGGTAATTGTTTATGCTAGACAAATGATCAAGTGAATTAGCAAAATAAATAGCAAAACTAACACTTAAGACAATTTTTAGAACAAATCGATGAAAGTACTCTAAAAGAACAATTGCTCACTAACTCCAATCATGCTCATTGGTTGCAAAATTGTCAGGCATTAAAAAGAAAATTTTAAGTTTTCTGTACACAATACCAAATACCAATAACCATTTTCCAGCAAATTTGTCTTAATAATTAACAATGCAAAACTCCAAAACATTATAATGCATCTCTAGCTGATATGCACGAGATGGCAAGAACATTAACAATTAACAATAAAGACTTAAGAACCCTAATTCTCAGCTTGAACAATTATAGTCTCAGTCTTTACTCATAACCATAAAGAATACATAAGAGAAATCCCTAATCAAAATCATATTTTTTAAAAAGAAAAATTCATAGCAAAATCAAACGAAAACTGAACCAAAACCCTAATTAACTCTGAGATTTAGCAATAGAAGAAGAGGATCGAAAAACAATTGTTACGCTTCTCTCCCAATTCAAGTGTATCTTTGGCCGTTCCGATCGAACTAACGAAACGAAAGAAAGAATTCACCTCTGTGTTGATCCAGAAAATCACTGACTAACCTCCTGCGACGGATCTCCACAGGACGAAGATCTTTTTTGCCTCTTGTCGGTAAATCGATTAGCCGCCGTAAATCGAGAACCAGCTTCAAGATCTTGGAAACTCATTTCTCTCTCAAATTTCTCTATCTCTTGGGAACAGAAAACGAAGGAGATGGGAAGAGTTAGACAGTTCTTTTTCGGGGAAATCATTCCGTCGAAATCAATGGTGTATCTCTTCCTTTTTTTATCAACAAACTTAGATAAATAAACTAATTAATATGAAATCGAAGTTTAGTATCAAAATTAAATTTACTATTTGTTTAATTGTATGTGTTTAAAATTTTTATATATATATATTACAAATTTGGGTTACTTAAAAATTTAATTGGATGCGTTATATATATTACAAATTTGGCCTATAAACTTGTTAAACTATCTCCTAAAATTAACATAGTTTTATTAAATTTTGTAATTATACTCTAATTGGGAGGAGAGATTTACGCCTTAAACGTGGTATTATCAACGGCTGGCTCCGGGCCCCGAAAAAAATATGGATCAAAGATCCGGTACTCTAACGGTTTATAAAAAAAAAATTGTAATAATAATTTTATGTATACTGTAACAAGCTATTTTAAATTATCCCATAAACATCATAAAAAAGGTTATGAATCTTTTTAATTATAATTAACGG